ATCACATTTACAACTTCATTAATGTGAATAACATTCCTAATGCTTCCTGAATGCTTTTTGAGTCAGGAGGTTAAAATATTTTGGGATGATCTTAATACTTGCAGTTATCAAGAAAGGCAGAAGGATGTGAAGACTATTTTTGTGAAGACTTATGTGAAGACTATAATTGAGACAACTATGGAGATCATTAAACTTACAAGAAAGCTTTCCAATTTTTCATAGAAATGATTTTTTTTTTCCTGCACATCTTTCTCAGAAAAGCTCTGTAAGCATCTAATAAAAGTAAGTGGGAGAAAATATTCTGATCCCTGTATTAACACCTCTGCTTCCTGTGGCTTTCAAGCCATGGTCCACAGAATCAGTGGGTCTGCAGTCCTCTTGTAAATGCTTCAGATCAAATTACTTAGAAAAGCAAGTGTGCTTTCAGCATATCTGAACAATTTGTACAGGATTCTGCGCCTCCATGGGAAAATTGTAAAGGCTCCTTCAATCAGAGAGGTTTAAAAACCACTGCCTATTTTCCATGGTCACATTAGGTTTAAGTGTGGCTCACACTTGTATGTTCCTAAAAAAAAAACTACCGACATATGAAAGAATACTAATCCTAAGAAAAGCTATAGGCCAAAACACATTTCAGTGCAGGAAATTTTATATAGCTCTATCTCTGATAATCTGAATTGTCATATAGTTGCTCTAAAAATTCATTTATTTTCAATTAAAAAAATGAAACAATTTACCAAAGTAATAGCATAATGACAGATAATCTTTATGAGATTAAGCATCAGATATCCAGCTCAAGAAGACATTTCTGAGATGCCCTCTAGACACAGAGATTAGAAGGCAAACATCCGAAGCAGGCCAGGCAGCATACCACAGACTGTTTGTCCACCAACTATCAAGAAAAAAAAAACCAAAACTGTACTTATTTTCAAAGTAATAAATGTAATTGATATATTTAAATTGTGCAATCTCTGAATTCCAGCAAAGTACAGGTTCCCAGTAAGTACTGCTTCTGGAAGTGCCATGCTGTTAAGGACCTTTATTTTCCCAAAAAAACAACTCCACCTTAATCCATTTGTAAGTATTTTCTAACCCTAAGCCAAGATGTATTTATAACAAAATAACCTATTTCCAGTGAAAAACATACTTGGTTTAATGATTTATATCCACTGTACCATACATTTAGGAAGCCTGACAAAAACTGTCTGGAACAATGCCTCTAACCAAGTGAAGAATTTTTACACTGGTTGTTTTGGCAGTCTGCTGTGTGAGATCGCTAAGAGAACTGAAAGAGAATCACCCTTGTATTTGTAAGAGAAGGGGACAAATATAAGTCAGAAATGCAGAAGTATTCCACAGAGAGATGGAATACATATCAAGCTTGAGCATGACAACACATGGATCGTTTTTTTAAGGGAATGTAAAATGATAAATCTTTAGGAAGATGAAAAGGGTAATGGATTCAGCCATAAAAGCCATTCAGTTTTCTGACAATAGCATCTAATTATACTTAATAGCTTCTAAGAGCTACTAAGAGCCTTTAACAACAGTGTTGGTAAACACAAGACAGTCTAAAAGAAATAGTTTTACTTGAAAACTTTTCTGCTTTCTAGGAAGTGAACATGTGCTATGCAATTCTAGGGCTTTGAAAGGAAAATATAGCAAAAAAGAAAGGAATAAAATAAATTGCTTAAATGTAGTAGCACTCAGGCATTTAGGAAGTTTTGAACCCTAGGTGTGCAGTAAGACACTCTCTGTCCAGCAGGTTTGCCAGCCAGAAGACTGAGTCCCTAAGTGAGCCAAATTCATTTCTGATTAAACTTCTCTGAGAGCGCTGATGATATACTTCCCCTTTGCTGATCTGCACTTTGATCACACTGTAACACTTCGTGGGTAATAGCTATTTATATCATCTCTGTATATCACTTATCTCCCTGGTGCAAAATAAAGTAATAAATAGGTGATTCTGTAGCTTCCTACTCGTGGGATCAGAGTTTGTTCACATAGCAGGGATAAATGTAAAGCTATTAAGCTGTACTGCATGTTTGTGAGATTGGAACGTTGCACTGCACAGGTGGAAGCTGATCATCATAGCTTTAGAACAGAATTTGTCAAAGCATGAATATACTCGTTTATGCAACTCCCATACTTAAAAAAAATAAAATCAGTAGCGTAAGACCACCCACAGTATTAAGTTTATAAGTAGTGACTATACATCTAGTTCTACAGACTATTTATTTTGGTAGTAATTAACAAAGCACTGCAGAAACGAATTCATTATAGTATATATAAATATATATGTTATTTGATACCTTGCATAAAACAAAATAAGGTTCTGATTCAAAGCCAATTATCATGAGTAGAAAGGGCTTGTGTAATAAATGGTTGAGCTGGTGATCTGTGTACAAATACTTGAAAAACAGATACAGAAAGTTTTGTCAGAAGCGATCACGCCTAGCAATGTGAAGTGGAATGCGCTGCTGTGAGAGACAAGCTAACTAACATCTAGCACTGCTGCTTTCAGGACCTGTCAGGAATTTGCATATTATGAAGCAAAACAAAACGAGAGAAATAAATTAAGATTAGAAAACAATCAAAATAGGCTCAAGGAACATTTTCTGGCTTGATAGAATAAGTTTACTGCTAAGTAACAAAAGCACTCGTAGCACAGCCAGTTCCTGTTGTTGCACAAAGATTCAACTAATACAAAGTATAACAATAAACATTAGGGTGTTTTTTTCTTTTCAAGTTCTAACACATCACAACAATGTATAACGTTAAACCTTTTTATCAAAAGAAATCAATTCCATCAGACTGCTCAGGTGTACAGGATATCAGTTCAGCGAATAAAATCTGGACCACCATGCAGTCGGGTAACTTATAACTTGTCTCATCAAATCCAAGCTGTTTTATGAAGGAGGTATTCCTTATTAAATATTTATAGCTTGCTACTTACACAGTAAGTAAAAGACAAAAAGCAAACCAAAACATTCCATGCAAAGCAACAGAGAAGAAAGTTTTGAAACTAAAACAATGTTTCCATCACAGTAAAACATCACGGAATTATCACCAAGCAAGATCTCCAAGTCAACAGCTTTTCTGCAAAACCTTCTCTAAATGCAGAGGCATTGCTGTCACCAAGACATGCCTGAATGGTATTTTGCGAACTACTGCCTGTTTCAGACTCACACAAACGCAAAGCTGTGCTTCAGCAGAAAAAAACCAAAAGGACTAACCAAACCTCTCCATGGGGAAAACAAATCTGACACAGCGGTTACTATTAATTAACATTCTTATTTGTTCAATACTACTTCCAGTTTCCAAAGGAAGTGTGACAGGCTGAACTAATAAAATGCTACTTCTCAAAGCTGCTAACCTCCTATTTCCTGGGCAAACAAGCTACCCTTCGGTTCCATACCATGCACTAGTGTTCAGCAGAGCAGCAAAGTTAGCTGCATCCATCGGTTACAGCTATGCACAGCCTTTAAAAAAAAAAAAAAATCAATACTTTAAAGACCTTTTTAAAGGTATTTTCATTACTTTTCTGCCAAATGAACCTAAGGAAGAAGCAGCAGAAGAAAGGGACTGTGTGACAGATGGTCACCAGAAAGCAGGCGACCCCTGAAGCTTTCTAGCTTGCTGTGAGTCAATTATTAATGGGGATTTCTCTTCTTACCGCCCCATCCCATGCGGAGAGGAGCGGCAGCAAAGCCTCCCTCAGAACGCATCCATCCCCGCTAAGTGACTTGCGAAAGAAGCAAATCGGCAGCGGTGAGCAGATGGTGCAAAGCTCAGGAACAGGAGAGGAGACGAGAGGAGAAGTGAGCCCGCGGAGCTGGCGTGTCCGAGGCACAGAGCGCAGGACTTACTGACCCGAGCTCTCCACTGGGATGTACCGTGGGAGCCGCAGATCGCCTGTGCTCTGCATCCCCACCGCTTTGTTTATCGGAAAATATTCAAAATGGAAACCTGACTCCACTTCTAAAAATAGCTGAATTTACTGAGTTTCAACTTGAAGTCCCACTGCTGAAGTGTGACTACGGTACGCAAATACCTCGTCTTATCTCCAAAAGGCAGCATGTCAAGCCACTGGGGGAAAGCCTTGACGAGCTCTTCGGGTCTTTACATTAGCTCTTCGCAAAAATAAAGCAAAACCCAATAAAAGTAAAGAGGGCAGAGCGGGGCAGGGAAGAGCAACCACTGCGAGCGCCCAGCCGCGGGGAACTCGCCGCTCTGCCCGCCCCGGGCCGCAGCCCCGCTCCGCTCTGCCCCCTGCCGGGCTGCGCGGCGCCGCTCCCTCGCCCGCTCCGCCGGCCGCCCCGGCCCGGCCGGACTCGGCGCTGCGGGACCGCGGAACCCGCCGCAGGAGCCCCTGGTGCCCGCCCGCGGCACGGGGAACTGTTCGCCCCGCCGCCCGCGGCTCTCGGCTCCCGCGCCGCTTAGCCCCGCGCTCTCCGTCGGGACGTCAGAAAAACTGAGGAGCTCGCGTGTCGAGCAGCACTTTGTTTTGAGAGGACCGAGTCGTGGCACACCCTCCCCCCACCCGCTCGGAGGAGACGTTATTGTGAGGCTCCCGCGTATTTCTGTCCGACTCGCAGGGCAAGGAGAAGTGTATTGCCCGCCGCTCTCGAGAAGTTGAGCGAACCCGTTTGGGAACAGCCCAAGCAACGCGCGACTAAAGCGGGGCTGCGGGCACAGCCCGGCGCTGGGACAGCTCCTTGTGCCGGACGGGTACCGCCGCCCCGCACGGCCCCGCACGGCCCCGCACAGCCGCAGACGGCCGGGAAAGCGGGAGGAGTCGGAGCCGGGCAGCGCCCGCCTGGGAACGGCGGTGGCAGCGAGACGGAGCCGCTCCTGCCTGGCTTCAGCTTGGGCTCCTTCGAGGGTGGGGGTGGGGGAACAGCTTTTTCATTTTCTTTGGAAGCAGCGAAGGGAAACCGAACAGCGACCTTTTGCCGGCAGGGAAGGATCTGTCCCTCTCCGCCGCCTCCCAGCCTTACCTTGTGGCTTTCCTGACAAAGTAGGAGCGGGTGAAGTCGCAGTGATCGTCCAGCCACGCTTCCACCGCTTCCTGCTCAGGCGAGGGGTGGCAGCTGCGCTCCATGCTCCGCTCCGCGGCCGCTCTGCCTCCTCTCCCGGCCGCCGCCGCCGCTCTCGCTTCCCCCGTGAGCGGGGCCGGGGGGCGCGGGGCTCCCTCCCTTCCTTCCCCTGCCGCCGGGGCTCCCGGCCTGCCGGGGCCGGCTCCCAGGTGCTCGCCCGGCTCGGGCGGCAGGAAGCCCGCGTCCGGCCCCGGCCCCGCCGCCGCACCTCAGCGCATCCCCGGCCGCGGCAGGCAGCCGGCTCCACCTCCCGCAGCGCCCCGGGGGGCTGCCGCGCCCCCGCCCCGCCCGGCTCGGCTCGGAACGGCCGCAGAGCACCGGCGGCAGCCCCCCGGCTCAGGCTGGCGATGCCCGGCGCTGGGGAGGGCGAAGGAGGCGTTTGTGTGCGTCGGTAATGCTGCGGGACGGCTGGCCCGGGCGGTCCGCGCGGGGCAAGGAAAGGCGCAAAGAGATGAAAAAGTAAGTTGTTCTTCGTGAGTCTGGCAAAGGGACCCCCCTTTAATTTTTCTCCTTTCAAGATGTGGCCTGCTTAAGCCTGCTTGAAAAAGTGGGAAAATAGAAGCCGCTTCGAAGTGCTTCACGGTTGGGTGTCAGCCTGAATACGAGTAGGAAAGCCCTGGCTTTTCGATCCTTTATCCAAAAAGCCTACAGTGAGGCTTTTAAATCCGTTTGAGACCTTGAATGAACATAGCCTAGCTTTGAAGATGCTCCAGACTCACGGCTGCTTTTTTTTTTCTCTACTATTGGAAAGCAGCACTGAAAACCTGGGTTAATGCCAAGCATCACTTTTATGTCTTATAGTTCCACTCTGTGCTATACATGTGCACACATAATAATTTACCAACTGCATTCACAAAAGAGTGTACACAAAATAGAATGTGCATATTTTGTTTCCTGTGTCATCTATGTACACAGTGTCTTTGAAGGCAAGACATCAATAATGAATAGCAGCATGTTTCTGTGGAAAGGAATCTCTGGGGTCTTTAAAATGATTGTCTGATACAATAAACTGAGAAAGACTGTGAGTTTGTGTGCCCCTCTTAAAGCCTCTCAGTGTACATGGGGTGGTGCACTTCAGATGGAGTACGCAGCCCCACACACCTCCGCAATACTCTGCAGTGCTTCTAGAGCCTTGCCTCAAGCTCCTGGCAGAAGAAGTGGGATTCTGCAGTGTGAGCAGAGGCTGCAGCAGGAACTTCACAGCAAAGCGACTGAGAGCCTGTCTGTGAGCTTGGGGGAACTGTTTTCTTCTTTGTCTTTGTGTAACATCTGTCTTCTGGCTGTAAGTATTTGTGTAATATGAGGCACACTGAAAGGGAAGTTTTACATCAACCTTATAATCCTTATAATTCAACTTGGAAAACAAATCTCAGAAGCGCACGTGGTGACCAAAGAAATGACCAATGTGAAGATAAAGTATAAACTGGTTAAGGCATGCTGCAAAAGTCAAGCCGCTATTCAAGGCAAAGAGGAATCTTTCAACGGGGAAATTCAGAATGCAGTAAGCCACAGAAGCAGACAACATAGCAATAAAGGAACGTGGTGTTTAGTGTCAAAACATGGAAAGTATGATCTGTTAGAAAAAAAATGAACTTGTCACATAACTCATAGATTTCTACTTTAACTGTTTCATTCAGAAAAGGGGTTTGAAATACACGGCAATATTTTTTTTTCTAAGCTGGGCGAAGCTTTCAGAGAACAACATTATGTTAGAATCCTTAAGAAATACAAGAGAAATATAAAATATACAGTTATCAAATACAGACTTCATAAATATCAGAAAGCCTTTCCCTGGATGGTCTCGTGTAGGATATTGATCACAGTCCTGCACATCCTGTCCCCAGAAACTATTGCAGAATTATCACAATTGATCTAGAGGGGAAATCCAGAACTGAACGAACAGATGGAAATCTCTCTTCTGTAAAGAGGGAGAAAGAGATTTTTTACAAAAGGATGAATGCAAATATATAATTTCATTCCTGGTATTTAAAACACAATAGTATTTGCTCTCTGTCTCACTGGAGAATAACAAGATAATGGTCAACAAAATTATGTCGGCTACAATACATACCATCTCATTTCATATAATTATGAGTAAATAAAGCATTTATACTGTAGCAAGATTCAGTAAACACCAGACAAGAATAAATAAGCACTGTACTGAGCTCTGTAAACAGTAGTGTTAAAGTCTAGGCTTCATAACGATAATCATAGAATGGGCTGCTTGGAAGGGACCTTAAAGGTCACCTAGTTCCAACAGTAGTATTAAAGTGCAGGCTTGCTGAGAAGTAAGAGTACAGCATCCCTGCTCATGCCACAAGGTACTGGGATCCTGGGCAAAGCTTCTTGGACTGTGGTCAGCTGCCCAGAATGGGAGAATGTGCATTTGACTTTGTACCAAAGGAGGGGAAGTTGGGCAGGGCCACAGTGCACTTTGCTCCATGCTGACAGCCACTCAGTTAGCCATCCTACAGATATGAATCAGTGAAGCCAAGGCAGGAGATAGTCCTGTGAATTCAATGGTAAAACATCAATTCAAATACTGCTATCCAAGCAAAGAATTGTGTGGTCTCTCCCAAAATAAATCATAAAAATGGAGATGTTGGGGGGAAAAATTGATACTTTCTCCATATCCAATGGATTTCCATGAATAAAAATGAACATGCTGTTTTCATTTTTAAGGTGACAGGAGGGGGGTGAAGGCCAAGCATAACAGAGAAGTGAATGTTAAAGGTGGAAAAAGTCTTTCATAGTTTTGGCTTCCAAAGTCCTGTGAAAAAGCTCCATGCATCTTAACTCACACCCAGCTTCCCAGTTTGCTTCCAGAATATGGATGACAGAACTGTAGTAGCTGTAAAGTTGATAAGGGTCTGTGGTAATGACACAAGTAAGTATGTTTGGTTCAAGTTCAAAAGCTACTTGTAGCAAAGCAGGATGCTTGAGAATTTCATACAGAAACCAGAATGCTTGTCCTGCGGAGGCCCATTCTGCAGTGGGAATGGTTGAAAGAAAAGCTTTTAAGCTGAAATTTTTTGTATATTTTGCACATACTGTAACATAAGAAGATGAGAAAGGTATTTTGTTCAGATGTAAGAATATGACTATAGAAATCAGAGAAATATTTATGTGATATTTATGCTCGAAGAACCCTTTATTTATTTAAACTTACTAGAAGCTCATTTATTTCTATAACATTCCCATTCAAAAGGAACAAAAATAAGGTTTCAAATGTCACCACAGTTGACTTATTTGTCTGACTTACTCATTAGATGAATTGGAGCAGCGTTTAGCATTGCTAAGAAGTGGGAATTGGCTGTCTTTCTGTCTTTCTACCATCCCTTAAATCTGGAAAACAGTTGATCCATTTTGGCTCCTAAAACAAATTTAGGACTGTAGTGTATTGCCAATGAGACTATAATACGATAAGGCAGAGGAAACTATTCTGCTTCCTTATTAGCCAGCACTTTTACACACATGCAAATATGTACACAGTGGAAGAATCTTAGTGTTAGTAAAGCAAATATCCATTTCCCTGCCACTATTTAGGATGTACAAAGAGGATGAAATAGCAACCAAAATCTGATTCATTTAAAATCAAATTGTTACTTTGGTGATGAAAATGCTAAATCATGAGAATTTCTTATCAGTTTATTCTCTTGTGTTTTTTTTTTGTTTGTTTTTTGGGTTTTTTTTGTTTTTGTTTTTGTTTTTGTTTTTCCCAAATAATTATTGGAAATGCTTCCCAAATAAGCATAGTTTTGCAGAGCTGCTCATTCGTTTCATAACCTGCCTTCTCCTCTGGGATAACATTACATATGTCCTACAGGAAGCCATGTAAAATAGTAGCTTCCTCCTATTTTGATTTGAATGTCACTGAGCATTTGCGTCAATCAAAATACCATGCAAAATTATTGTTAGCCCCAGGAAGGCAGCAGTTTCTCCAAGTAGTTTGTAGTACACAGACATTTGTCTGGAAAACACTGTCTAACTTCATCTCCTGAAAAATGTAATTGGAATTTGAGTTTTAACATATTAGCATTTAAAGTCTCAGGATAAAGAAACTGTTTAAAAATTGTTGCTGAGTTTCTCTCTTTTTCTTAGCCTTCTCTGTCTTAAGATAAGTAGTGCTAGTTATTTCAGTTCTTTCTTGAATGTCATGTTTTCTAGCCCTCTGATCATTCTTTCTCAATGTGGGCTTTTCCCACATGGTCTCTGCCATTCCCATGGAGTCTCATTGAGTTAGGATCAAGTCATCTAGTTGAACACATATCAGTAACAAATAAAGTGGAAGAGATATTCTGTTTTCCCTGCAGGCTCATACAGTCCCCTCTGGATATGTGAACTTGGCAACAGCCTGATCTTGTTGACTCATGGCGACCCATTGTATTCTCTATTCCCTTTTCTTAATGAGTTGCCATGTAGGCAGGTGTTCCCTGTGCACCTGCTTCCTTTTGCCTGAGAGTACTTCCTTCTCTTTAAACTTGTAAATTTCGTCTTCTGATAACTATTCATTTCTCCCATTTATCAACTTTATTTTGAATCCTGTATCTGCTCTCCAGTTTGGCTTTGCCAAACTAAGTGCAAATTTGCTGAAGGATATGGGTCTAGGCAATGACATGGATGGCAAAATTGTAAAGGGGATTCTCAGCATTATTTCTGGTTTATTTAACCAGGGTTTCTGTTCCTTACATGCCATAGCCACATCTTCATTGAACGTACTGACACAGTCCTGATAGGGAGGCTATGTAATAGTTATACTGTGGAATAAAAGCAGGCACAATGCATTGACTGGTTAAAGTGGGGAGGCTACAATGATCTGCAGATGTGCACTCACCAGTCAATTTCCAGTTACATTCAGCAGATGTTTCTGTGCTTCTGATATGTTCGAAATTGATGCTTTAATAATCCCTCTTTTTTTTTTTTTTTTTAAATATATGCATTCTGTTCAGAATTTAAATAGGAAGTATTAGGAAAGTAGGAAATTGTATAAGCCAGATTTGATTCTAGGCCCTTCTGAGTGTATAAGGAGCAATTTTTCTTTTTTATTTCTTTCTTTCTTTCCTTTTTTTTTTTTTTAATTGACATGATACACTGTTAATTTTGAGCCAACTTTTTAGCATCTACTGGCTAGCTAGTTATTTTCAATAAGCAAGTGTTCTTTTTGGTACTTTTGTTAGTATCTGCGATTTTGAGTT